CAAACTCTTCTCAACATTAGACTCCCACACGGCAAACATATTTAAAACARTTTTTAGAATATTTACAGAGACGCAAGTCTTTGAGCGGCGAGGTAAATATTCCCCAATATTCACTGAGCCTGAGGCAAATAATTGTTTTATTAGTATACATACACAGGTGATTCTTTCAAAAAAAGAAAAAAAAGAAGATAAAAGGCATTTTTTTCTGCTAACAACAACAAAGCGGCTGGACGCCATTTTGAATTTTCGCTAGAGGTGATTAYCGTGTGATAGTGTGAGTTTCTTGACCAATCAGCACGCGAGATTTTCTATAATCACCTGCATTATTATTTTTACTAAATTAATATATACACCTGTTTGGACTGGCAGATATATATATACATACATACATACATATATATGTATATATATATATATATATGTGTGTGTGTGTGTGTGTGCTATTGTTATCGTCTTTTAGCTGACAACTATTCACAGACATTGTCATAAGTAAAGTAGAATTCATTGCTTTCTCACTCTTAAAAATAATGCCTGAAGGCATCAAATGGTTGAGAAGAAGAAATCTTGCTGTCAAAAAAATTGTGATCAAATCATTGAAAATAAAATTGTTGTGCCTGGTTTTTACCCTGTTAATATTTTGCTATATACTTACTTGGTAAGTTGCATTAGAAATCCTGCAGAAACAGAGCTGAAACTGTCGTTTAACCTTAGCCTYGGCACACCCTTCAAGAAGGCAATGACATACTCCAAAATGATGGCACCAATAAACAAAGGAAGGGCCTAAAAYGAATTAGTTAAATTATGACTAGAGCCAGCTACATTACATATTAWTAAATGCTATAATTCTTGCTGCTTTCTGATTGGTTGAGAGGACACTTTAATATGAGAACMTAACACAGCACAATTATATTTTGCTTTCATCTCCAAAAGAATGGCTAATATTAAGTCTTTTTTTTTTTAAAGTAAAAGTCTTGCATGGAGCTGTGTGCAGTTATAAAACTCTTGGAAATTGACCTCCACAGCTCTGGCATATGTTTTCCCATTTCAGAACATGGGTCATTCCCTTGAGAATAACATTCTTTGTTTGAGTTGTATCCATATACAACAAAGTGAAACCGTTAAAAAAATGATACTCTAGTGAATGGCATGTGRTCTGAAATGGACATTTTGCCCAAGCCAAGTAGTTCTATTGGCAGAACACTTGAGAAATGTTGAGAAGCACACCCTCAGCTTAGTCCAGTCCCAGACCTGTTTTTAGCCTGCTCCGTTAAGCAGCAGGTCACAGTACAAAAAGGGTCCTTTTTGCCCTGCGACCAGCCGCTCAACGGCGCAGGCTAAAAAYGGGTCTGGGACTGGATTAGTCCTCAGCTATGTGTCATGCTTCTCTAAAATAACACCTTACTTTTATTCTCCCAATCCCAGCATATTTTTCTTACTTCATGCAGCACACATCACACATATGTCTATTTCTTATTTCTTTATTACTTACATCATTCAAATAGTCAGGGACTTCCTTAACGTGAACAAATGAATTCTCAGATGGTGAAGCAGCATAAAAGAACCATTGAATGCCTTGCAACAGTGACGTATTTGCAGAAATCTGTACAGACAAGGAAACAAGTAAAAATAATGTGTCTTTATAACTAATTATTYTTGAATAATTTAAATATGAACTAAAAATAAGAGCTAAAACTTTTAGAAATATGGAAAAAGAGTAGTAAAATCTCTTTTTATTTATTACTCTTTATCTATTCAATTACCCATGACCCCACTATAAACCATCCGCCAACCGGACGGTTTAAATAAAAACATCCGTGCTTTGAATRGGAAAAAAGATATATTATATATTTTTTAAGTTTTCGATACCAAGTGATGTTGAGAATAGTTATAAACTTCAAAAATAAAGCTCTGAAAATGTCAACATTACTAACAAAGATGGCCGGTTCATGAACCCAAAAACTTACCTTTGGTACACAAAAACTAAAATTCATATTTTATATAGCTTCACTCAGACCAGAATTAGACAGGAGATGCCTACTCTAGAGAAGCTGTGAGGTGTTTAAAGAAAGAATTCCAAAGCTGCAACCTTTTAATCTGAGCTATTTTCATCCGATATTCCTCATGTCAGTCTTCGTTGTTGAAAAACAGTGACGAAAATTTTTTTCTTGGGCGAGGAGATGATTTTGATATTATTTCTCAATAATTTAATCAAATCTTTAAAGATATTTTGCAATATTTGGGTCTTTTTGGTATGATTGATATTTTTTTGAGTTAAAGTATRTTTATTTTCATAAAACAAAGATTTCTTTACAGAATACTAATAGCTAGAAAAATCTCCACATCTCCTCTCCCYCCTGTGTAAAAAATAGTAAAACCTTGAGTGACCTTCAGTTACATAACCACTGACCAAGAAGAACGTGAGGTCTGGGAACGAGATCGTTGCATAACTCTATCGTTTCGAATTCTGACGAGTGAGGAACGTGGACTCTGGTTATGTGCTTCATGACTGAATASCATATAGTCGTCAACGCTGGGTGTTGTGTTTGTAGTCCATTTAGTCGCCTCATTGGTATTCATTAGCCATTCTCTGTCGTCTATGGCAGAATGGTATACTGCAGACCACGGGCACAGGTATGGTATCCCTGTGGTGCGGTGACGGTAAGGCCGCGGGCGGGACAACACTTAACTAATAACAGCACGCTAGATCATTAATCATCTAATTAAAATACTCGAACGCGATATCCTGACAATCACAGCCGCATCTATCACATGCGTTTTTTTACTCCTTTACGAGATTTGCCCTACACTGAGTAAGTCCAGGACTGGTTTTGTCTGTATCATCCTATCTGGGTTTTTTTTTTTTGGTTTTTTTTTGAACTTTTTTAACAGCCATGCAGAATCTAAACGTCATGATTTGTACGTGCTAAAAATAATAGAAATTGAAAAAACGGATTTTCAAAAGGGCTTAGAAGTAAAGCCAAGATACATATGGGGAAGACTACATCACGGGCGGAGAAGGAATTCATAAAATACAGTAAATGTATGTAATTTGTACTGTGAGGGGGCTGTGAGAAGCACTCTACGCCCGTGATTTAGTCTTTTTCTCAAAACAAACCATACAATTACAAGCCAAGCCTGTTATTTTTTATCCTTCCGGTTGGTTGTATCATCAAGCAACCGTACACGAAACTGAGGGCGATGTGGATGAATTTCTAACTGCTAAAACGGTTATTGAAAAAAACCGGCCGTCACTGTCTGTCGCCGAACGAAAACATTCTGTCACAAATTGGAAGCGGAKTATACAATGCGTAAGAGTTTAACTATATATATGAATAAAATTTATAAAACACAATAGCAATATTTATTTTAAGAAATTAAGCCCAAACCGATGATTTACACAAATCAAACCATCCTGGCTACCATGATTAAGAAGTTCCAATAGATTCCAAAGACCATTTTATTGCCAAATTTGTCTCTTAGTTAAACTTCGGCCTCGATCGAATTCTCACCATCCAGTAAACATGGGAAAGGACCGCTGAAGCTCCTAACCAAATCCAAAGCCACATTCTTCCATTACGGTTCTTTTTATCTGTTTTTTTTATGTATTTGGTTGTTTTATTTCGACGTTTTGAAGTAGAATAAAGATGAAAAAGTAGTTCCCTGAACATGGTCTCACGCCGCTTAGTTCACATCCACTGAAGGGACCTTTGAAGGTCTTCATCAACTGTTCATGAGCCATATTCGTCCATTCATTTTCTTTTAATCTGTTTTATTTTTTGATTTGTTTCTTTTGTTTTGAGTTGACAAAAATATATAAGTTTCAAAATTGGAAAAGTGTCCTTTCGATGTATGTCAAAAAGACGAACCATTGTCGTGTCATGCTTAGTTCACATCCAGTGAAAGGACCTTTGCGTTCTCAGCTCCTAAGCCATATTCGTCCACTACGTTTCTCTATAACTATTTTATTTTATTGTTTTGTTCTGAGTTGACAAGTAAGAATATATACCTTTTCGATGATGGAAGAAAGTTCGAAGTTATTCAAGATTTCCTGTACTAGCTTGTTCTCTATCTAAGTAAAGTAAGAAGCTTAATGGACAAAAGAATATGGTTTTTTACACTTCATTAGAAGCTTCAAAATTCCTTTCACTGGATGTGAGCTTCATGCTACCAAAAAAAACATATTCCTTGAGGCCGGTGAGAAAGTGTAAAGACGCCAGTCCAAAAGAGAAAAGTCACAATCTAGTTTCTAAGTTGAATCAGAACAATTATAGAAAAGGGGTTGGGCTCCCTGTSGTATCTTCTGCCYTCGTCACACCACAGGCAGTCCATACTTTTAATTAGCCAATAATATACAAATACATTCACATATTTTTTTAGCACAAATAAATATCACTACTCGCGTTTTCTGTTTTTACTTGGATAGCACTGATTGATGTAGGGATACTGTACAGAATATCCATCCCATTGRAATAAAGGCTTTCTTTTTTACCCTTTACGATATGATGGTAACTGTACACCGCTCTATTTTCTGTTTTAGCTTGTTATCTGGCATGACCACAAGTRAAGGATTTWCGAACGCCTTTCTTGATTCYCTGTTCGATAAAGATAAAAAGAAACGGCARMATAAGTGGAATAAATWGACAGATTCTCACAGCTGAGCCTTAACCGTTTCCTCCTGGTAAAAGCCATAGTTTTTATCGATTTCTAAAAATATCTGCTTCAATGTAATTTTACAAGTGATGTTAGTCTTTTCAGCATAATTTTAAGTTGAAATACTACTAAAGCAATATWTTCTCGATCCCACACTCCACCTAGGAAAAGTCCAATCCAAAGGGTTAATCCAGAYACKGATTTTCCACAATTTTGGATTTTGAGGCAAAAACTACCRAATTCTAAAAGAGSRGGTGAAATATAYATRAATAGTGTCATTTGTTTCGGTTTTGTCTTAAAAAAGAAATAGTTTTATGAGCATCAAAAGTATTAACCCTCAAGCCAAGTGTACGCCTTTACAACGCACCTTCCCCTCCCCCAAGGAATTGGGTGCTCCTTTTGAACTTTTGGCAGCCAAAAACCTGGCGCTAAATATGGCAGATGAAAAGGTTGTCCTTCCTCTAGAAAACCAGACCAACATACTAAAATCCAATGCGATCTCTCCTTTGACCTGCGCTGTGAAATTGACCCGCATGGTAGCGATAAAATTCTAATGACTATCCGACCAAGATTTCTTTAAATAATATGGATAATTGGAATATTTTGTTACCCCTTTCTTTGCAGCGCTTTCGTCTAACATTAAGGTCCCCGATAAGCCAGGSCTATTTTCCTTAAGATCACATTTAAGATCACGGCAAATAAGTATTAGCAAGGTCTTGGCCGGACTCATATTCTATGCGCCCCGACAAGCTGGAAAATCGCGCGTGGGCTAAAAGAATTTTTCAGCTTGTTGGAAGAGAACAGAAAGTGAGGCCAGGACTAGRTTAGTCTGTATATTGAGTTTTTCACGTTCAATTAAGATCTACATTTTAAGATTATTTCATACYGGAAGTGGAAGGAATTGAAAAATGGCTTCCAAAAGGGTTTCAAAGTGAAGTCAAGATACAAATGGGAAAGACTACATCTCGGGCGGAGAAGGACCACATAAAATACAGTAAATGTATGTAATTTGGTCTGTGAGGGACCCGCGAGATGCACTCTACGCCCGGGATATAGTCTTTTTSTTAAAACACACCATACAATTAMAGGCCAAGCCTGAAATTTTTTATYCTTGCACTTGGTCGTATCACGAAGCAATCGAACAAGAAACTAAGGCTGATGGGGACGGATTTCTAACTGATAAACCCTTTAAAGGAAAGACCTGCAGTCACTGTCTGAGGGCGTCAAATTATTCTGTGTCACATTCAAGGCCGAGTATACTATACCAAGGGTTTAACTACGAGACAAATTTGCTCAATAAAATGTCCTTTRGATTAATCGCTTGGCATTTTATAATAATGATAGGAGAGTTTGGTTCGTGTTAAGGCATGGATTGAGATGGATTTTTTTTAAATAAATATAACTGCCGGCCATTTAGTATTTTCCACATAAAACTAGTGTCTAAATGACAAGCAGCCGCGGCCGGATTCCAAAACGCGGTTCACCCTATGCGCTCCGATACCGAGTTAATTTTGGCATTCGGGAAAAGACCAAACATTCTTAAACCCAAAGCGAGGCCTATCTGAACACCTAGTAATAGTAATACATTTYACTCCTCTTTCCGTTGCGGCGCTATCGTCAAGGGCCCGCGGTTGTTCAAAGCTGGGTTAGCGCTAAYCCAGGATTAACTCTATAGGTCTTATTAAGAGTTAACCCAGGATTAGCACTAATCGGGCTTTGAACAACTGGGCCCAGATCTCTCGGTCCCCGYTAAGCCAGGATATTCCCCAGGGACCGGACTCACTATGTATCCGCTCCGACAAGTTTTGAATTATTATCGAGGAAGTACGGGTGGAGACTACATCYCGGGCGGAGAAGGAGCACATAAATACAATAAATGYATATATTTGCTCTGTGAGAGACCCGCGAGATGCACTCTACGCCCAGGATGTAAGTCTTTTTGTCAAAACACACAATTCAATCACAAGCCAAGCCTGTTATTCTTTATCCTWGCACTTGTTTGCTTCATGAAGCAATCAAACCAGGAACCGAGGCCGACTGATGAGGATGGATTTCTTACCGTTACAGTCATCATATAATTATAATTTATATGTAATTTTATATGGATTAAATAATACAAAAGTATTTCCAAGTTTTTAATYATTTTCAATAACTTTCTTCCCACCACCCCAAGGAACCCAAAATAAGAACTTTGGAAAACCATAACCTATAGACTGTTTATTAGTTTCAAATATTCAATCAAAATACAGACCTTTTTCTTATAAATGGCCGCCAAATGCGGTTGGGACTCAGTACGATCTCTTATGTCAGTCATTCATCTCACCAATTCTAGTTCTTTTAAGCATCTCTTGAAGTAAGAGTGAATGACTTTGGCACAAAAGATCGTAGTGAATAGATTTTGTTTTACTATAGGTCTTTCTGACCTCACTTCCATGCAATTGTCCTTGGTCCCATCTGCATTTGGCGGCTATTTATGAGAAAGGTGTATAGACCTTTCTTTAAACTAAATATACCAATGAATTGTCACGTTTCATTTCAAAATGCACCAAATATGGTGTTTTTGAGTYCAGTCTGTCTGGGTCACATGACATGGTAACTGTCATGATAATCATCCTTCTCTCCCCTTTCATYCTTTTTTCCTTCTTGTTCTAGTCCCTCACCAACTCTACACCAGGGCCCGGTTTTACAAAGCCTGGATAGCTCTATCCGACAGATAAATCTTATCCAGTGAYAAATTTATTGGAAAACACGGGATAGCGTTATCCAGACTTCGTACAACCATGCCCAGGTAACAAATTTTTTGAAATGTTAGTCTGACCTAAGGGAATCTAAAATACATGGATATAATGGTAGAGCAGGGCCAGGTTGTACGAAGGGTGGAAAGGTCAATCCAATGGATAAATAATACAGGGTTCATGCTACGTCTCTGACACAAAATTCAAGTCTTTTTTAAGGACTTTTCAAGGTCCAAAATGAGGATTATCAAGAATCAATATTTTGTTTGTGAATTTCTTCTTAACAATGCATAGGAASCATACGTTATTTTCAGGCTCCATGTCATCGACGTAAAATAATGGAAAATAGCTTATGAGTTAACAACCTTATTCACGTAAGTAATAAATTGGTTTTCAACAAAAATTAGGTTACAGTAGATGATCATGATAAATAAGTAACCCTTGCATTTTCAAGGAGTATTCCAGGAGTATCYWGCAACWTTGMTATTTTCAAGGGCTTTTCAAGTGCACTTAAAAATGGGTTTTGAATTCCAGGGCTTTTCAAGGAYTTCAAGGARTATAGCACGAGCCATGATAATATTATCCAGTGGATCAATTTATTGGATAACAGTTTGACTTACCCACTTGAATTAATCAGTCGGAAAGTGCTATCCAACCCTTCATACAACCTGGCCAAGAACTGATAAAAATACCAATCTACTATAATCCTCAATATTCAGCAAACTCAGACATTTCAACGGCTTGTGATATTGGTTTTTTGCTGCCGTCAATTGAAGGTAATCATTTGATACTTTTTAAATTTTTGTCTGGTGGACTTGCAACTATTGACTACTTGCAACTACTTCACACAATATCTTAGTTATATATATTTTTCCTTAATTTGGGGCCTAATTACTAAAAAAATGATTGGGCAAGGAATTTTGTCATTGAATTTTGCCACTTTGTGACTCGAGCAATTAATAAAACTTTGGAAACAGTGACACGAAATTTATCCTTAATTTTACATACTTGGCCCCATACGATTACCTATGCTAATTGGYTTTATTGATCTAGACACATTGATAATTAAAAGTTTTCAGATTTAAGAGACGTGTACTGGACAGTATGATTTGATGACTTCATCTGTTTCTCCACTCACAAGAGCGACAGTGTCTGCAATGCGACTTAAGAGAGCTGCAACAGCATCATGATCGTAGGGATATTTACTCCATGCAATATCAGACAAGTATTTCTCAACAGTGCCCTCTTGTTCTGCTGGCAGCAGAGACATATTTGGCTCTTCTGGCAAATGAACTGTGAATATTATTCCAGCATGCTTGAATTTTGCATTGTCGTTATCACAGTATGAATAAAACAGAATAGGAGATGGGGGCGGTAGAAGCTCTAGGTGGAGAATTAGTGCTGAACGATCACCTTTTTGAAAAAGCCTTTCAAGTTTTTCATCCATGATTTTCTTTGCTTCATGACCACCATAAGTTGTAAATTTTTTGCCATCAATGTATCCTAAATTATCATTTCCAGGATCAAGTGTCTTGGCAAGGCTCCATGCTATACAGTCAATAACACCATGGGCGGAGGGTGGAGCACCCATCAATATAACCAATGGCTGTTTAGGTTGTTTGTCATTCAAATGTGCCAGCCCTCGAGTCTTCAAAATTTTCCAAAATCGTGACGTTTGGTTAGGAAATTGTGTCTTGAGCTCTTTTAGTTTGTTATCAAATATCTTACTATAGTTAAACCTAGAATCTTCACCATAGCCTTCAATTAGAAATCTAACATACCCAGGTATGAGGTCCTTTAGCTCTTCTGATATGATAACAGGAGCTAAAATAACTCCTAAAACAATAGCAATGAGGGCAACGCTATAGCCTAAAATTTGCCAAAACATAGAGGTTTGCTTTTTGGATGTCTTGTTTCTCAAATTTTCCAGKTTCTTTGCCTTGTCCTTGTCTGTGCGAATGGGTCTTGGAGAACTACCAGTACTTTTCTGTATGCTTGTTTGCGGTTTTTTAACTGGCTGTTTTCTAGTTTGGGTATCTTTTCCTGGCTTGTTTATGTCTACTACTACTTCTTCTTCATCTTCTTCGCYAGTGAGATCAGATTCACTGTCGTCTTCTCTTTTCTTCCTTTCTTGAAGTCTTGAAGACTTCTTGTTTGAATCAGAGGACAAACTGTGTTTTTTATTCACGTCTTTTTCCGTTATTTTTGAATCATTTTGTTCATCATTAGCCACAGYACGGGAAGAAATGCGTCTGTTTTGCTTGTTAGTTCGCATTTTACTTAATCTTTTTCGTAAAAAAATGAAGATTTTTACATTTTTGCAACTGAAACACTGACATGCAAACCAAATAAGCCCTTTTCTAACAAGTACTATGATTGGTTAAAAAAAACAACATCCAATCAAAAACGCTGTTATATGAGTATTCAAAATTTCCAGGAAACTCTAGAAAGAATTAGAAGAAGCATTTCCATTGGTCAATGTTGTCATTCCAAACTTTTCAGCCAATGAGAGCTTTCGTTATATTACTTGAATGAATTATATTAGTATAATCTGAGAAGAAGAAAACATGGTGAAACCTATTTTGTTTTTTCTTGTTTTGAATTCGTTTTTGGCGCTAGGAGAGATGTTTGCTTTCCTTGTGCCTGCAGTTGTTGCAGGTGTTTCTTTAAGCTTGTATGCAGCTCGTTGTCRCTTCAAAGAATGCTGCACAGATCGATGGATCATCAACAACATCACAGGCCTAGAATACGACCTCCAAAATCGCGTTTTTGGTCAACATTTGGTCACTAATRCTGTATTTAAAGCAATCAAAGGACACTTAGCTAACAAATCACCTGAGAAAGCWTTAGCTTTGTCATTTAACGGGTGGACTGGCTGTGGAAAGAACCACGTTAGCAAGATCATTGCTAACAATGTCTACAAGAAAGGAATGGACAGTGCTTTTGTCAATTTGATTATTTCAACTCATCAATTCCCTCACCAAGATGAAATAGAAAATTACAAAACATTACTGAAAGAATGGATTGTTGGAAACGTTACAAAGTGTCCAAGATCACTGTTTATTTTTGATGAGATGGACAAAATGCCTGARGGATTGGTGGATGTTTTAAAGCCATTCTTGGAACATTATTCTGATGTTGGTGGTGTAGACTTTAGAAAATCTATRTTTATATTCTTAAGTAACACAGGATCAAAGGTTATCAACTCAGAGACCCTCAAGAACTGGCATAGTGGGAAATCAAGAAAAGACATCACTATCAAGCAAATGGATAGCATAATTAATCTCGGCGCCTTCAATGAAAAAGGCGGTTTTTGGCATACCAATTTGATTGACAGCAATTTGATTGATTACTTTATTCCATTTCTGCCGCTGGAGAGAATACACATCAAAGAGTGTGCTAGAGTTGATCTGATAGCCAAGAATCATACTTATGATGAAGACTTGTTGAACAAAATTGCTAATGAAATGTTGTACTTTCCAGCAGATACTAAGATATTTTCAAAATCTGGCTGCAAGAAGGTGTCATCTAAGGTTGACTTAGTAGTTGGATAGTATGTGTCCATGTTGGTTACTACGAGATGTAGTATAGTAGTGTAGTATAGTAATACCATGTAGCTCCAGGGTTCCAAAGTCCAGTCCTCATTCCCACACTTCGGCAAATCCAAGTCCCAATTTTTAAAGTTTCCAATTCTTATGCTTCTATTTCCCATCCCAATAAGCTAAATTCCAGTCCCAGTAATGAACCTTGAAGGAACCCCAAGTTGGTGATTTTATTTCCCATTCACTGGGACCTAAATTGGGGTCCTAGTGATGARCCTTGGAGAAATCTGATGTGTATGATTCAGTCTCTCATTCCCAGTGTAGGAACCCCATTCCCATTGCCCAGCACAAAAATAGAAACGAATCCTAAATTTACATTTGCAAAATATTTTTGGAAGTATACACCAGTTACCCTCAGACCCCCTCCAGAATTTCCCAAGAATTTCAAGAAATCAAAACATTTTTAACATTGTTAAGTGTGCATATGTCTGCATGTGTATATAGGTCTAAAATTTTCTGTCCAACAAAGTGGAAATCCAGAAATAAAACATCTAGTATTATTAGTAATACACTTTAATTATTATGATYGGTATACCCATTCTCACAACCACAATCTAGACAACTGGCTATAATTTGAGAGATCTTGGTTTTTGTCAAGTAGTCTGAGTTAAATTGTCCTGTTGATGGAAGCAAAAAATTAACCATTTTCCTCCAATTTTTTTTTTTTTTGGTATGTCCTCTTATTTACCATGATTTTCATCATCTAGCCATCAAAATGTTGTGGAAAAAATGTTGTGGAAAAAATGTTGTGGAAAGTTGACAATTTTACTACAAAAGCAAGAGGAAAATTAGAAAGAAAAACAGTTTCAAGCGTGAACGTGACTTGATGACGTAATTTATCCSTATGTCCTCTTATTTCCCCCTGCTCTAGACTAATCAGCGAACAAGAAAATTCACAATTTTGGTAAAATCTGAAATCTAAGGCCATCTTGGTTGTGTAATGATAAATTAAAGCAGCAGTAAATCATTCACTGAAAGTAGAAACTCAAATACAAAATAACAGTTCACAAACTATGGAAATACTTAGGTTTTGATTTTAAATTTTTATTCAAATCTATCTTGAATAAGTAGGTAGTTCAAAAAATTACTTTCAAGGTAAAGAAGTTTATTCTAAAATATTGAAGCAAAAAAAGTGGCACATTTATACTTTTTTTGAATGCTTTTAATTCAAGTTATCATGATCTACATCTGATATTTTTTTAGCTTAATTGTGCCCTACTTCAGCCTATATGATGTAAATTTGAGAAGGCCTTGTTTATTGTCCAGAAGGGCTTGGGCTTGGTTGTGGCCTACGTCGGGCATTACGCACGCACTTCATCAGAATGCGCACACAACGGGCTTGTCTTCTGCAGTTCAGACGAGCTCTCAGCATGCATTTAACACCATGCCTTGCACAGCGAATCATTTTCTGTATGAGAAAAGATACATGTTAGATCTAAATGAAGAAACCTTGTCAATCTTGCTATTTAGTTCTTCAAGTRGGTTGCAATAAATAGTCCTTAGGTAGTCTGAGTATCAGGCACCAGGGGATGGGGGTTAGGGTTAGCTCCCCCTTTCCCCAAGAGACTACCTCTAATACTCAGGTTCACCCTTAGCCAACATCTTTTGGGTAGACAGACTGTATCAGTAACATACAAAAATCTCCCCGGTCTATCACTTCTTTCTAAAATGGTMAATGCTTTTAATTTCCCTTTCACAATGTGGCAGATTACCACCCAGTCTCCCATTTGTTTCTGTAGAGGAAAATCAAACGGCTTTCAATCAATTTGAAGAAATCAGAACCTCGTAATACAGAGAGGAGGGCTTGTATACCTTATTTGGATGTGGCCTTCCACTTGGGCGGGGTTTTCCAGTTGGGCGTGGTCTACCACTTGGGCGGGGCCTTCTACTTGGGCGGGGCCTTCTACTTGGGCGAGGTCTTCTACTTGGACGGGGCCTTCTACTTGGGCGTGGCCTTCTACTTGGGCGTGGCCTTCTACTTGGGCGTGGCCTTCTACTTGGGCGTGGCCTTCTACTTGGGCGTGGCCTTCCACTTGGGCGTGGCCTTCTACTTGGGCGTGGCCTACCGCTTGGGTGCGGTCCGGTGGGATCCTCTTTATCACCTTCAACTTCAGTGTCCTCATCATCGTTCTCCACCGCGTCAGCCATGATCACCTCTTCGTCCTCTTCTGATTCATCAGCTTTCATGGCGGTTGTCGGCTTTGGCCCTCTGACGCAAGCACCGAAGGCTTTCAAGCACCCGCCACAGAACGTCTTGCCCTTGCTGCATCTGCGGTAACCTGCCTTGCAAGCTTTCTTCACGAGAGAAGTAAAATGTTGAAAACGTATTTTAGTAGCTAGAAATTTTGCACATTGAATTAAGAAAGGTTATTATCAGCAGCAATGATAAACACTGACATTAACCGTAACAAAAACACACCTAAATTGTATTTGCGAGAAATATATCAACCAAATATCAATCTTGGCGTGTAAGGCGCGCATTGTTCGTGACAGCGAAAAATTTCTCGTATTTTGTGTTATGTCATGTCAAACCAAATAACTTCCACCAACAATGYCGAAAAATGCTACTTCTAAAAGATTGTTGACAAATTCAATTGTATTGATACGCTGATGAATCTAGAATGTTCAAGTTTTGCTTTCGATTAATAGCTTCTTTTTTTTTTCACTCAAGCAGAAAATTTTATAGGAAAATATAATGCCTGCTGATTGGCTGAATTCATTCGGGCTGAGGGAAGCCAAAACAACTGGAAAAAAAATCACAAAAATGAATTAAAAGTAACTTACCAAAAGGGCGGGACGTTTTCTTTTTTTCTTGGTGTCTTTGTCGTCATCTTCTTCAACCTCGTCCTGTTTGTGTCCTTTGTGTTTTTGGGCCATTACACGAACGAAATGGAGGAATTTTTTGCATTTTCGCACGCCTTTGAGGACGCATCGACAGGCAAAGTACTTGACTTTGCAAACTGGAACCAGATTGCATCGAGCTTTGGTCTTTTTTAGGCAGCCGATGAAAACACGGGCACAGACTCTCTGGTGAATTAATCCATATGGTGAATGAATGTTATACTAGAAAGACCATCGATCACTAAAAAAGAAGCAGAAGAAAAAGAACAAGAAGAACGAAAAGGAAAAAATGAAGAGGCGAACAAGACCCCTCAAAGACATGGTAAGAAGAATCAAGGAGAAAGAAAAGAAGAAGAAGAAGAAGAAGAAGAAAGAGGAGGAGGAGGAGGAGAAAAAAAGTGTAAAGGAGAGAAAGAGAATTATTGAGCCGTTCACTAACTCTTTCTCCCTTGCTAAGTGCTGCTTGTTTCTTAGCCTTGTCTGCAGGGTCATCTTCGTCTCCCAACACTTCATCTTCCATGCTGCCATCGTATAAGAACGACACAGANTCTTCAGGCAACTCTTCTGCCTTGAACAAGGCAACAGACGCCAACACCAGCAAAAGGATAAGACTCAGCTTCATGTTTACAGTTTTACTTGTACTTAACAAGTGTGACTTTTCTCTGGAGCAAACCCCTGTTATATAGTATACTGATGGAGGGCTTGTTTGTTTAGCTGGTTAGTTGAACAAAAGTTAGTGATATTAATAGATATTAAAACACTGTGATATTGACATAAGGGTTAATGACTTTTTCGAGCAACGCCGATATCGAGCAGAAATTCAATTTTAAACTGGAATATTCATATTCATTTTGGTTATGTAGTTAATATTAAAGGCGACTGAAGTTAAAGCTTCGTATTTGTTTTTCTTCAAAATTATTGCGAAGCATCATTAAYCTTTGGTTTCAAGTGCTAATTATTTTTTTAAAGAAATATCAGTAATCTATCTAAAGGTTSATCGATGTTGACAATATAATAATGACTTTAGCGATGGTCAGGCTTAAAGACCGAATGAATGACAGACAAGTGAAATGTCGGTGTGCACTGAACAAGTGGACAAAAGGATCTAGGTTAACTGACTGGCAACTAAAGGCTGTTAATGACATTTTGATTGACCAAAACCCTCTAAATGGCAGTTTTATAGCCATGTCTATTATTGTTTAATCCGTTCTATTTGGTTAATAATGCTAAATAAGGCTTTATTRCACCAACACGTTGATAAGTTCTTGCCGGTAACTAGCCATCATGACTACTAGGCGACGACTCATAAGTTATAATTTACTTTATAATTTACTATAATTTACCAATTTCTTGCGATTTCATTGGATATTTATTTAAAATATTTTTTCTCGGATAGTGACGTGCGAATTGCTTGGAGATCACCGTGTTTCCTCACATAACGGTGGGCATGCCAAGTGCATGTCAGGCTCCTACTGTTATCTTGATTTCATTGGGTTGGTGTGGTCAGTACGAAAGAGAACGATAGAAAACTTTACCCCAATAATCTGAACCGCCTTATTAAGATCTAAACAAAAGCTTGTTTGAAGCTAGCTTTGCAGATGAGATTTGATTGAATTAAAGTTCGTGTGTGA